AAATCAAGAAAAATTATAGATTTTGTAAAAAGTTTGTTTGTCTATATTTGACTTACATATTGCTTAATCAAATTACATCCCATTTCCCCAAAGTCGACGTCATTTGATTTGTATTATATACAGTTGTCTTTTGAGTCAAATTATGAGGAATTGCGTCAGATTTTCTAAAGTCACATGATATATGACGTAAGATACTGTGGTTGACGAAATCTTTGATTCAAACGAATAAACCCCACTCTAACCCGGCTAGAGGGGAAATTTGGTCATTCAAAAGACTCGTGTGAGATTCATAATTCAATCGCTAAAATTTGTCCAAGGTCAATTTTTGATAACGTTTACGGAAATATACTGCCCAAGGAATAATTAACAGATTAAAAATTATTCACTAGAAAACCGATGATAAATAGCAATACTTCGTTAATGTTTTTATTACTGGTCCGTAGCTGAATGTTTATACAGAGACGCAGTGCAGATATATTTATTTTTGAAATACTTACCGTCCCATGATACATCAGAATAGCCACCAAAGATGTAACTACCAACACGAACAATGGTAACTGTCGGTCCTTTGTTGTCACACTGGGGGTGGAATGTTGTAGTCACATCCCATCCATCGCTAGCAGCTCTCCAACATCTTATCCAACGACTTCTACTTGAATCTTGAAGAACAGGGCTCAGGTAACTGGACAGCTGCTGCAGATAGTTGTTGTTGCCATAGTCACGGAGAATAATGGAATTCTCTAGGCCTTCTGAATAAATGGATGAAATAAGAGCTAGAGTTGAGGTATTCTTACGACTTCTATATATGGATGTTCATAAGCATAGCTCTGATGTACCTATACAAGGCTCTCAACGGCATGCATGCCGTTGCATAAATATCACAACATAATTCAGGCTAACTCGAGCGAATTGTTCTTAGGAACAATATCGGGTTAGGCAATGCATAGAGCTGGTTCGAATCTTAGTACGCGTCCTTCATATATCTTTTCAGTTTAAGTTTAAGTCTTTGAAAAGCTCTTCTCCACATAATTGTCATAATTGGGACATCAGCGCCTTCTATGTGCACATCAGCGCCGTACATGCACAACCATATATGAAAGTCGTACGACAGACCTTTCTCAAGAGTTATGCTGATGTGTAAATATTTCCAATTTACAAAAAAAGGAAAGAAATATGAAATATGAAATTGAAAACATGGGAATGCAAATAAAATACACAAATACATAAATACATATTAGATACATAAATACATAAATACATACAGCCTTTTGCAAAAATTATGAGAATTGTCTAAATATCTAAATATCATAATATCCATATCCATATATTGTCCGGAACACGCGGATTTGCTAGAATAATTCATTGTTGACATCGAGAAAATGTTCAGAACTACGGATAAGTCTGTCGCCAAAAAAAAACTAAACTACAAAGACAAGGGACTAAGGACATCGCGCAGGATTACCCATCATGCACTCGATATTATGATATTTAGATATTTCGACAATTCTCATAATTTTCGCTCGGGATTACCCATCATGCACTCGATATTATGATATTTAGATATTTCGACAATTCTCATAATTTTTGCAAAAGGCTGTAAATACATAAATACATAGATACATAAATACATACAGCCTTTTGCACAAATTACAGCCTTTTGCAAAAATTATGAGAATTGTCTAAATATCTAAATATCATAATATCCATATCCATATATTGTCCGGAACACGCGGGTTTGCTAGAATAATTCATTGTTGACATCGAGAAAATGTTCAGAACTACGGATAAGTCTGTCGCCCAAAAAAAAAACTAAACTACAAAGACAAGGGACTAAGGGCATCGCGCGGGATTAGGCATCATGCACTTGATATTATGATATTTAGATATTTCGACAATTCTCATAATTTTTGCAAAAGGCTGTATGAGACATTTTTATACATATAAATATACCTAACCAAATATCAAAAACACCCAAGAAATTATGGGATACCGTCGCTGATATTTTGTCTGTAACAACCTGATGCTAGGCAATCATGACAAAATATAATAGAGATATACCATAATTTCTGGGGTGTTTTTGATATTTGGTTAGGTATATTTATATATATAAAAATGTCTCATAATTCGTGCAAAAGGCTGTAAATACATAAATACATAAATACATAAATACATAAGTACATAAGTACATAAGTACATAAGTGCATAAGTACATAAGTACATAAGTACATAAAATAAATACATAAATACATAAATACATACATGACTGGTCTGAACATTAATTTATTGCATTCTGTCTCTTTCGCCGAAGACTTTTCTTGAAGTCAATTTTACTCAAAATACACTCTTGTTATCCTTTACATGGATAGTTCAATTGTTATGAACAGATTATAAAATACCTGAACATTTCCTTCCATCGCCAGTGTAGCCAGATTTACAAGTACAAGTGTACGAACCATCAGTATTGATACATTGTGCATTTACATCACACATGTGGTAAT